TGATAGATTCAAGTCTCATCCATAGTTATAAAACGACGCACAAAATAGGTTTTATTCTTCTTAAAACGATCCAAATGACGCTGAGAAATTTGCTTCCGAGCGAGTTTTTGTTGAATTGTTAACGTATGCGACACCACTTTTCCAAATACCTTTTTCATTTGTAATTCTTTATGCAAAATATGCCGTACCCGTTCATCTGAAATGCCTATGGTATGAGCAATTTCACGCGTAGTCACACTTGGATCTTCAGAAACAATAACATGTATTTGCTCAACGATTTCTGGTGTTGATGCGCTTTTTGGACGTCCACTGCGTGGATCATCTTCAATGCTTGTACGACCACGTTGAAACTCAAGTGCCCATTTACAAACCATTGTTTTTGAAGGAGCAAATTCCCCTAACACATTTACCATCTCGGAATGAATTTCCATTGCCTTTAAACCTTTTTTAAACAAAGAACTCAATCACTGCACGCTGTTTCAAATTTTCCATTGCAAACAAATATACTGACACGTCAACTTCAATTGGCTTGTAAACACAGAAAGAATTGACAGATGGAAATGAAACCTAACCTAGGTCCATGTGAAGAGTGATTCTATATAACCGACTACAATTTATAATTCTACCGTTTACTTATAGATGCCGCTCCTTATACCCTTATACTCCTTATACCGTTTACTTATAGATGCGAACTTTTCATGCAACCTGTATATATATATAGGTATATATATTGTTACGTCTCGTATGGAGTTTTTTGGATTCCTTAGGGGCATAACTAGGCAGAATGTAATATGCCGAGCGTATCACTTGGGAAAAAGAAAAAAAAAGAAATTTGTTATGATCGTAAGTGGCTCACTCGTCCGCGCCGTAAGGGAGCCGCTGACGGTAAGGTTCGCACGCGATTTTAACCTGGGAGGAACGTTAAATAAACAGAAATATAAGATATTAGATTCAAAAGAATTTATTTGATAAAGTGGATATGACTATGAGGAAAGCGTTTCTGAGCGGAGACGATAATACAATTTGCGAAACGTATCGAACAACATAGAAGAAAATAAATATTGATTATACAATATTTGTATATTTGTATATATACCTCCCATTTGGGTACCGAAAGGCATAGGGCCAAAGCACAGATTTCTGCATAACGCATAATACACAACGCATAAGAGATTCAACCAATCAGAATTCTTCATTTCTGTCCTGAGGAGGGAAATGAAGAAAACTAATTGGTTTATTCTTTTATTTTGTTATGTATTATGCGTTATGCAGAAGTCTGTGCTCTGGCCTATACTTTGATCGGATAGCTGGAACGTCACTGTTTAGGCGTCCGATGGAACGGGAGAAGGAGTCCTCGTACGTGCCCGCGTTTCTCCCAGCTGAGATGGCTGAACGTCGAACGTTCGCGATAATTGCACTCCCGGCTTCCGAAAGTCGCGACTCTCCTTTCTTTTACGAGTTAATTAAGAAAATCGAGAAATTGGTTAAAATCACGAATAATCGACACTGCAAAAACTATGAGTTAGACACTTGATTGAAAACAATTGTAAGGAGGAAGGACCAGAAAAGAAAAAAGGAGATATGAGAGAATATAAGAGACCGTCACGAGATTATCTAACTTGAAAATTTTCTAAGTACAATAGTTAAGGAGAGACTTGTGAGCGCGCGTCCGAAACGTGTGACGGCCTCAACGAGAGTGGAGAAGCTGGCGGCTCAGCGACGAGCCGAGGAGTTCTTCTTCTTTGTGTTGGAGCAAGACACGAGTTACTCGATACTCGGATACAACAACGAGAAGAGCCGCGCCAAAATGTCGCCTAAATAGTTCGGTTATATTAGAATGAAAACGTTTACAATTTTATAGTCAACCGCGGGTAGACAATAATGCGGCAATCGCGAATTTAGGTACGACGCGACACGATGATAGGCCAAGGAAGCGTTCCTGGCGAATTCGGCACAATAAGTTTAATAATTCTAACGGAGAGCGGCTAATCAGAATAGTACAATTTTATAATGATAGGTTTTTACTTTCGTTACACTACATTTCTAACACTTTGATTTAATAACCGGATAATACGTAAGATTTAGCGAGATGTCGGATGAAGGAAGCAAGGTGGAGAATTACGACGCGATATGCCTTGTCTTCCATCCGAGATCCCTAAGAGCAAAGCTGGACCGTGCTGCTGACGCAAAACAGTTATGAGATTCGTAGAATTACAATGCTCATACTGCGGAGTTATAAAGATAGCGATTAGAAGAGTCATTAACGGTTATAACACAACTTTCCCACACTTCGTCCTTATTATTAATCAGGGAGTGTTTTAATTAACAATGTTGCGGAAGAAGAATATTGTTAAGAAACAAAAGATGGGGAAACTGCATTGTCCGTCCGTTATGATAAAAATAATTTGGAATAATAGTGAGAAATAATAGCCAAGCCCTATCTCGCGCAACCGGGTTGTTATCCTTGAGACTATATAAACAATGATAAAGCATACGCGCACTGTAGAAAACGATGTGTCAAATTAACATAAAGCAGAAGTGCCAAAAAGAAAGAAAACGGAAAAGAGTAACACAATTCATGTGTTGAGTTCAGCACATATAAAATGTGTCACCCAAAATTGATATATCAAATTAACACACGCCTGTGTCGGAAATTTAACACAAAGTTTTCCATACACAAAAGAATAGTAAAAAGTATTAAAGCTAACGCATTAACTTAAAACGAAACGCTAGTTACAATTACAGATCGCCGTTACGAATGTTAATATATGACCCTAGTCCGTGTCGAGCGAGGGAGGGGAGAAACGGAAGATTAGATTGCAAAGTATATCGCTCGATAAAGATAAAAAAATAAGAAAAAAGAAAAAGAGACGTAATAATATACAGGGTGTCCCATTTTAAAGGACTCACTCAAATATCTCAAAAACACTGCGTTAAATCGAAAAATGTTTCAGACAAAAGTTGTTTGGCTTGAAGGGGGACATAAGACAGCAATAGCATTTTGTTTATAGATGGCGCCACTTTCGAGATATTCACTGATTATCAATTTTCTTAAATAGAGATCCCAATCTTTTATTATATCATCTTTTTCTGCCAACTAATTTGAACAACTTTTGTCTGAAACATTTTTTTATTTGCTTAATAGTTTTTGAGATATTTAAGGAAAACTTGGTAATTTTTTCAACATTTAACTTACGATATCTCGCTAACTATTCGTCAAAAGAAAAAATAGTATTAGACCTTTTTACTTTATTTACTATTAAGAATATATTACTATAATAGTACCCTAACTTTTGTTAATTTAATAATTTCGAAATTTTTAAAGGTCGATAAGTTAACAAAAGTTAGGGCACTATTATAGTAATATGTTCTTGATAGTAAATAAAGTAAAAAAGTCTAATACTATTTTTTCTTTTGACGAATAGTTAGCGAGATATCGTAAGTTAAATGTTGAAAAAATTACCAAGTTTTCCTTAAATATCTCAAAAAATATTAGGCAAATAAAAGAATGTTTCAGACAAAAGTTGTTCAAATTAGTTGGTAGAAAAAGATGATATAATAAAAGATTGGGATTTCAATTTAAGAAAATTGATGATCAGTGAATATCTCGAAAGTGGCGCCATCTATAAACAAAATGCTATCGCTGTCTTATGTCCCCCTTCAAGCCAAACAACTTTTGTCTGAAACATTTTTCAATTTAACGCAATTTTTGACAAACGTTTTTGACATATTTGAGTGGGTCTTTTAAAATGGGACACCCTATATATCACAGTCTTACATTATTATAGATTCTTCCTGCAGTGAAAGCGAGTTGCGTTTTATTTTCGCGAACAGTCCCGATCATCACATTTCACGTCGTCATTTATTGTAATCTAATAATAAAAATTAGATATCGTTTCACGCGCGGCGGAAAAGTGCAGCACGGCGTTCACGTCCGACCCACTTTGTCTCATGACCTATTCCAATGGAAAAACGTCGCTTCCGCGATAGAAGAAGAAAGTCACAGGACGACTATTAATAAATGTGTTCCCGATGAACATTTCTGAAAGAGAGAGAGAGAAAGAGAGAGAGAATGAGGGGGAGGGAGGGAGGGAGGGAGGGGAGGAGAAAAACACGGACAGAACGAAATGTCACGTCGATAAAATGGCACATACGCCATCGGCTCGGTTGCGCTCGTCTGCGAGCAGAACAGCAACAACACCCTCGAGCAATGGCGCGCCGCGCGTGTATAGCGCGAGCGAGATAAGCAGCGTTTTTCTACCCCCGATCTGCCTCCGCCTCCGTCACCGTCGTCATCTCCTCTTCTGCTCCTCGTCCTCCCTCTCCTGCTCTTCCTCCTCCTGCACCGCCGCCCGAACCCTCCGACAGACCGACGAACCTCCTTATCGTCACTTCAGCCGCGGGGAATGTGATTAAAATTCCTTTTAGCGACGAGCCCGGCCCCTCTGTCACGAGTCCGCGACGCCGACGCTCGGCGTCGCGTCGCATCGTGTCGCGTCGCGTCAGGGTGCAAAAAGCGACGCGATCGACGAAAGGCGAGAGAGGAGCGCCGGAGGAGAGTAGAAAGGAGAAGCCAGCACTCGGTGAAAAAGGGCTGGCTGGCTGGCTGGCTCGACGGGTGGATGGGTAGTTGCCGCAAGTTCGTCGAGCTTTTAATTCGCGATACGACCGACCCCCGTCGCCGTTGCCGACGACGACGATGACGGCGACGATTTGCAGGCTGAAATCTCGACTAATTTCCCGTTTCGCGCTCGGCCGCGATTTTCCGCTGCGAAGGGCGTCAAAGCGCCGGAAAGGTCGGAGGCGATAAGCCATTTCGGGCTTTTCACGCCGAGCTTACCTTTCTCGATGTTTTGCCGCTCGATATCGTGATTCGTTGCACGAGGCTGCACAAGTAATAGCGCAGTCTAGGTCGCAAGTTAACGAGTGAGTGTGCGCGCGACGCAGCAGTAATCGCGCGTCGTATGAAATCTTGCTTACCACGTCTTCTCGCGTTGCAGCGTTCTTCAAGGAGCTGTTGTCGACCAGCAAACGAGGTTTCCACGACATGTTCAAGAAGACCTACGGGATCCTCTACGAGCAGAACGCCTACGTCTTCACGGACTTCTTCCAGGAGCTGGAGAATTATTACGCCAAGGGGACGGTGAGTCTCCCTCCTTTCCTTGCTTCTCCTTAAATTTAAGTCGCTCCGGCGCTCAAAGACAGTAACTTTGGCGTCTTCCTCGCCGAAGACGATTCCACCCGCGCGGCGAGCCAGTGTGAAAAACGCCGTGAAAAACACGCTTGAGCCGCTAAGCACGTTTTGATTTGCAAAAGAAAAAACAAAGAAAAGAAAGAAAAAGAGAAGAGAGAAGGAGAAACGGAGGGTAAGGGCGCCCCTTCACCCTACCTTCGTCGCTCCTGTGGATAAAACGGCTCTTTCTTAATCTCTCGACAATTTGGTCTCACGCAAAATCACGGCTGCCCGGCATTCGAGCGCGTCGTCTATTTCGCGTTTGATGTCGCGCGCGCTGCCGCCGCCTCCGTTACACACCGCTGCAAAATTGCAATCGCGCTTTAATTCTCTGCCGCTCGCAGTGTCCGCCCGGAGCATTGAGCGCGAATAAATAAGACGGCGAGCCGTGAAGAAAATTTCCCGAGCTGTGCCGAGGCGTGTCTCGGGATTTGAAGTTTATTAGAAGCCGTTCCGCGCAATTACGTTCGCCGACAACCTCCCCCTTCCTCTCTCTCGTTCTCGCTCTCGCTCTCTCTCCCCTTTCTCTCCTCCTCCGGTTGCTAGCGAAAAACGCGGTCAAACGGCGAAAAGCTGAACGACTGCCACTACGATTTACAAGATTCACGTTTAAATACTCGACTTCCTATTTACGAGGTGTAGGTCGCACGAATTACAAACTCGCAGCGGGGCTCCTCGCGCCGAGTCTCTCCCGCCTCCCCCGCCCCCTCCTCCCGTGACGCCCCGTTCGCTCGAGCACGATCGTATCTTCCAGTAATTAACGACAATCGGCGCGATCGACCTCTCATCCAGCTACCCTCGCCGCCCTTGGAAAGCCGCGGTTTCCCGGCGCCTCCTCGTCCCTCCCTCCCCCTCCCTCCACCAACCCCTGTCTGCGATGTCCGACGATGTTTCCGAGGCCCGAAAGTCGAGCCGGCGAGGAGCTGGGGGTAGGAATCGCGTGCTAAGGCGAGTTTAATCAAGGTGCTTTTGACATCCGGCATGGTCTCGGTAAAGGGACCGTCCGAAAATATCTTGACCGTCCGACCTTCGGCGGAGGGTCGGTCGTGTCCTGTGCACGTCACGCGCATCCATCGCGCATCTAGCGGCCGAGAGGTTCTCGCTCCTTGCCGGCTCCTGCGGCTCGTGATAATAATGACGATAGTAATTTCGGACTTCTCACGAGTCCTTCGACGGATTCTTCTTCGACGAATTTCTCGACGAAACTTCCACGTCGCGTCGTCATGTTTCTTCGAAACGGCGCATGCGAAGAATGTGTCGGCGGATCTCATAAATAGACAACACGGCGCCGTGCATCGTCGCGGAGAATGATAACGACGCGGAGAAACACGATCGTTTCGTTTCATCGGCGGGACCCTGATTACTTTATTTATTACATCACCGGACGTACCCCCCGACCTATCGAATTTCCCGAGCCTACCTTCCTCCGCTGCGGGCGAGGAAGGGCGCTTGGAGCCTCCTCGAGATGGAATTTAATTTCCTTCGGAAACACGCGCGATCTCGCGCTGTATGCTGTTGCATCACGAGCGGCGCGTTATTAAGCGAACGCACGAAGAATCCGTAACAAGAGGTGCAATAAAGTAGCGATTGGTCATGAGAGAATATCGACTATGGGGCGGAAGGAGGGGGCGGGGAGGTTGCAGCGAAAAATCGCACTCTCTCCTCCTGCCGACTCGCGAGGCACACCTGTTACTCTCCGACGTCCCAGGAGGGCTGTCTTGTTTCTATCGCGTTATCTTTAAACAGCAAGTTTACACGGGGCACCTGGGCGAGGATTAGAGAACGGCTGCCGCTTGTAAGAGGAGTACGTGACAGGTATGCGGTATCGCGTCGTGTAATTCGTCACGCGTATCAAAAGGAGGACGATGAAAAAGGGGTGAGAGCGAGGGAGCGAGAGGGAGATGGTTAGATGGCTAGATAGATAGACAGGCGGAGGAGACGACGCTTCGATCGAAACGAGTCGCTTCGATTGTCATTCAAATCGCCTCGAATTATTCACCGGCGCCATTCGAACCTGTTCCCCCTCGTTCCGCATGCACACGACAGCACCTAAGTGTGTGTATGTGTGTGCGTGTGTCGCCGGTTGCGTGAATGCATTATTGTTGCAGCGATGGCGCGCCGCGCATCGCGTATTTCTCGTCGTTAATAAATTTATCGCGAATATTAATCTCCCGCGTGGCACGGATCGTTTCGCTTTTAGCTCTCGCGAGCGTTAAAACGCTCCTGCGGAATATTTGTCTCGTCGCATGCGCGCGTGCGCGCGCATTCGCGGACTTTCGAAAGCGACACGCATGGCCCGCCGCTGTGCGTCGGAATTTTCATGGATTTTTCGCGGCGCGTTATCGCCAAGTTGACGCGGATTTCAATCTTGTCGCGTATCAGGAGAACCAGCATGCGCTGGGAGGCGGGGGCGGCGGCGGCGGCGGCATTGTCCGCGTGTTCCCCTCCCCTTTATCTCGAGGTCTTACATCTCGCGAAACGTCCATTACGATTGAGCGATGGCAGTTGAAGTATTATGACGCGTAAAAATCCATAAAGTGCTGTTAGTTGACTTCTTTCACAACTCGTTCGCATCAGAGACGGATATGCGCCCGTTCACTCCGCCCGGCCATTATCATGGAAGCGGACGTATCCGATTTCCCGTTCAGGATGGATCGGCTCGCAAAAGTCACGTGTTTTTTCACGCATTTTATTACGTCGATTTTTCACGTCGATCTGAAGGGAAACGAATTCGGCGGATCACACAAGGTAAAAGTACCAATGCCGAGACGCGCATCCAACTTTGTACTTTTTTATTATTTTAGCCTTTGAATATGAGTATTCAGTGTTTAAATGTGGCAATGTAAGCGTCTAAAAGAAAAAAATTAATCATTTAATTTTAACAATTTATATTTAATCATTTGATATTTAATTTATATATGTATGTATATTTTTTTCTTTGCGTTGAAAATTGAAAATAAATTCCCCAAATATGGATTACCATAAGGTTTTCTTGAAATAAATTTTTATTCTTATAAATATCGTATGATCAGTCTCGTTTTTATTTTGATCAGTCTTATAACTACCGAGTAACATAAAAATTATTAAATTTCCTTCACTAAAATACAAGAACGTATTTTCTCTCAAACGTCATAAAATTCGAAACTTTGTATTGCAATATGGATAATAATCTTAATTATAGCAATTTTTCACATAAACTATAACTTGAATCATATTATGTAACATTATTAGTCATAAAATTAATTTTTGGTATAAAAATTGCAAAGAGATGTATCATTTTCTATGCTTCACATTTTTCGGCTACAAAGAGCGCACTGGGCTCACTGCTCTCCGTGCGCATCTTCGGAAAATAATCCCTCGCAATAAAGGCATCTTACATCACCTCGCACACAACGATCGAAGCTTTCATCTGTACTATCATCGACCGAAAAAGCGTCGCTTTTCTCAGAGCTGGACCGTGATGTTTTCATCTTTAAATTCTTTTGTTTTCTTTCAGTGTCTTTTTTGTTTTCTCTTCTTTGTTCCTCGATTTTTGTTGAACTTTTTTTCTTCTTTAATGGTTAATATAGATTAAAACTAGTATAGACTACTGCTCCATATGTGAGAACTTTAAGATAGTTCATAATATGAGTACACTATCTGTTTGTATTTGATTTGATTTCTGTAAAATATTACTGTCAATAATGAACAATGCTAACATGAGAAAGTATTTGTCTGTATGTTAAAAATTTACGGAAATTAACGAAATTTTACATTGAGTGCGAACAAGATCACAAATTAGTCTTTAAGAACAACGTAGGCTTTTATAAACAGCGATATATTATCCAACTGGTCCGTATTTGAGGAATTTACTCTAAATATTCGAATTTAAAGGCTATAAGGCAATCAGAATATCTAAAATTAGGAGCGCATTTCGGCATTGATCTTTTACTTTATATTTTCTTCAAGCCCCCTAATGATGCAAACGGGCTAATTTCGTAAAAATCTGAGAACCGAGTATCGTATTCCAAGCTCATAGCTCATTCCAGGATCATCTCAGGAGCGTGTGATCGAATTAAGCTGTAATGCTCGAGACGCGACGAGAGAGCACCGACGAATTAAATATATCGAGTCAACTTATTCTCGCGTCCCCTGGTCGCGACGCGCTTCGGGTTCTTAGCGGGCGCTCTTGTATTGTAATTGCGCGAGTAATAGCTGGAACTCATTAATATTCCGGGCCACCAGGCCCGACGACTCGGTTGTCGGCTTTCAATTAATCCGAGTTATGATCAGGCGCGACGCGCAATTTGTCCGCGGCCGCGCGAATTGAATGCCGATTGATGCTCGAAGTAGTGAAGGGGCGAAAACGCACGTGCGCGCGCGTGGACCGTACTTCGAATAATAATCATTATCGAATTATCGCGGCCTCGCGATTAAAATACGACTCCGGCACGGCGGTTATACGCGCGTCGCGCTTAAATTCATGCGGGCGAGGCAGCAATTTGTTTCTCTCGATTTGCCACATTTGTCTCGTGCACACTCAACGCCTCGAAATTGCGTCCGTTCCAAATCTATGAGCTGGTCTCACGAACAGCGATTTTCTTCTCGTGTAAAAATCTAGGTCCCAACTCATCTCGAAATTAATTTCATCAGAAGGAGAGACCAGTGACGGTATTATATTAGGAGGATGATTTAGTTTTAAGGATTTTTTTGTCAAAAACTGATTTACTTAAACAAGATAATGCACGAATACCTTAATCAAAATATTTTCCTCCGTTTTCTACAACTTTTTCCCACCTTTCTGGCAAGAGACGGATTCCGCGACGTTAAAAAGATTCTTCTTTGGAGTTGATACAATTTTCAACAAATTTTTACACTTGTTCGAACTTATGAAAGTGTGTATCCTCTAGAGCATGTTACATCGACCGGAACAAGTGGAATGGACCGGAATAATTGGATGGAGCAATACGCGGAATGCGATAAGACTTCTTATTCCAGCTCTAATAGCGTTTGCTTCACTGATAATGCATGAGATCGAGCATTGTCGTGAAGAAGGATCATTTTGCGTCATTTATTCGCAATTGGTGATCGTTTTTCCATTCGATGTTCACACTTAAATTTGTATATTTGTTATCGATAACGATCAGCAGTGACGGTTTCGTTCGGATTTAACAGTTCATAGTACAATACCTTCTTGATCCTACCAAATACACCTTACAGCGGTACCTTTGAACCGTGAATATTGCACTTCGAAGTGGATGTTGCTGATTGGCTTGGTCCAATTTATGATTTTTTTTCGTTAGGGATTATCGAAATAGATCCATCCTTCATCCCCAGTAACGATTCGATACAAAAGACTGCATTTTTCGTCTGGCGATGAACGAAATGCAAATGTTCCATCGGTTCGCAATGGCATTTTCCGATAATTGATACGGAAGCCATTTCCTTTCTTTGTGAATTTTTTCCATATCCGTGTAAACGTTTAGTAACTGTTGTACGATCAACATTTAATGCTCTGCTGGCAAGTGCTGAAGTGGATTGCGCTGGATTTTCGTCCAATAATGCTTGCAAATCTGCATTTTCAAGCTTTTTTGCTTGTCCCGAGCGATCTTTGTCGTTAACATTGAAATCACCACTTTTGAATCGTCTAAATCAATATTCACTGTTCTAATTGATGGAGCAATATCATCATAAGTTTCCATCAGAATTCTGTGACCTTCAGCCGTCGTTTTCTTTTGATTAAAAAAAACAAAAGTAACGCGTATCAAAAATGTTCTTTAGGAAGCTTCATTTTCCAGATGGCATTAACACGATTTTTACTGCATCTGTTGTTAGTAAATGACTCAATATCATGGATTAATATTAAAGCATTAAGAAACAATAGCTGTGATTGGAATGTCCTCGACAAAACTGACATTAGTGCCATCTCTTGCGAAATCACAAAACTAAATCGCACTCCTGATATTTCGAATAAATGTCTAATGTTAATTAAGAAAAGTGTCTCAAGAAAAAAAGAGACCTTAACATTTGCCATTTGACTTAGAAATGTGTGCTCGAACATTCGAAAAAGAAAATTCGAAATCCGTGCAAAAGTGCGAACGGAATCGCTGATGTCAAATCGTGTTCGTGTGCATTTCAGGTGGACCTGGATGACGCCTTGGACAATTTCTTCAACATTCTATACCAGAAGATGTTCACCGTGCTGAACGGGCAATACTCATTCGACAACAAGTACCTGGAGTGCGTAAGCGATCATATGAAGGAGATGCGGCCGTTCGGCGACGTGCCGCAGAAATTAAGCGTACAGATCAAACGGTCTTTCGTGGCCACGAGGGCTTTCAGCCAGGCCTTAACTGTCGCCGCTAATGTGTTGAAAAATATGCAAACGGTGAGAACCTGACACGATCTGATCTGTGCAAACCGAAGCAACGCGGTCGAGCGATTTGACAAGGCTGAGCGCAAGACGATTATTCGATTTCCAAACGGACTTTGGCCAAATTTCTGTCGTTAGCATCTGAGCGACATCAATAGTTTCCCAGTTGTTAAAAGAGAGTCTTGTCGAAAATTTATCTGGCATTGGGTTACTCATTTGATTATTCATTAGAAGAACTTCAATAATTGAGAAATCGTTTATAACGGAAAATTAGATACGTGCAAATTTAATAGAACTCAGTGTAATTCACAGTGAATTATAAATCGCTATTCGATCTCAATTTCGATATTGTGGCAAATTATGAACGAGCTATTATTTATATCGGGAAACAGTTGTTATCCAGCTTTGCTCTCGCGCCTGTTAATATCTTATCGTTCGACCGCTCTCCTTTATCCTTTTTCATTTGCATTTCCTCAAACGTTTGCACGAATTTCCCGGAACGTTTCCTCGCGCCGTGACGCACTCAAGGATTCTAGAGCGAAGTCTTTGTTGTAGCTGAAACCGTCTACGGATTGTGCAGCTGCCCTGACCAAGATGACAGCCTGTCCGTACTGCATCGGCATACCGAACAACGTGCTGGCGTGCAACGACATGTGCAGCAATGTGATGAAGGGTTGCTTGGCACAGCACGCGGCACTCGACGCTGAATGGAATCACTTCGTTGGTGAGCAATTTGTAAACCCCTCCCTTCGTCTTTCCCACCCTCTCCACCCGGCCCCGGCCCACACCCCTGCCGGGCTATCGGCTATTACATCGTGCAAGGACACATCGAGTCACCGATGCGTGAATGTGTGTGCGTGCCGTGTTGGTACAATCTGTCTAGTGTGTGTCGCCGTCCGCTACGTTTGCGTAGCCTCTTGAGATGTTTCCGCGACGGCAGTGTGGCTCGTCGTGTTGCCACAGATACCGACTGACCAGCCTCTTCTCACGGGACGACACAGGACTACAAGAGGATGTGTCGAGAAGCGAAACGCGATGAGAGCGTCAGCGTTCGTCGCATAAGCACGCTTCTTTCGTTGATCCTCCTCGAATCTCCTTTCCGAGATTCAATGCATCCCGTCTTCCTTCGCCTCAGTAACTTGATAGCGAAGCGATAATCTTGACTATTAGTGATTGATCTGATGAATTAATCTTGTCGGTAGCAATCTGTCTAACTCTTCTTCATTCTGAGCGCAGACGCCGTGGATAAGATCGCCGACCGGCTGATCGGGCCGTTCAACATCGAGGTGCTGGTACGGCCCATCAACCTGAAGATCTCCGAGGCGATCATGAACTTCCAGGAGAACAGCCAGGACGTGTCGCAGCGAGTGTTCACCGGCTGTGGCCGGCCGGTGCTGGGCAAACGCAGGCGTAGGGACAACCGCGAGCTGCAGCTGGAGTCGCTCAACTTTGATCAGGAGACGCTGACGGACGATCGCACCCAGGTGGCCGCGTACATGGACAAGCTGGTGAAGGAGATACGTCAACGGGTGCGCGACTCCAAGCAGTTCTGGATCTACCTGCCGTACCGATTGTGCAGCGACGGCCTGGTAGTTCCGCCCACCAACACGAAAGAGTGCTGGAATGGCACGCACGTGGACAAGTGAGTGGAATGTTCCTCCGGTCCAGTCGAGTCAATGGCTACGTTCAGCAGAAAAAGCTGCTTACTAAACATTTAGTAATTATCGTTCCTGATTGGTTCATTCCCCTAGATTTGTTAAGATCTAAAAGAATACTCTAATCATAGATAATAATCACTAAGCGCTTAATAAGCAGCACAAAGTGATCAGTGAGCGCTTAGTGATTCTCGCTCCTGATTGGTAAATACTTCTGGGTCCATGAAGAATCTAAAAGCATGCTCCAATCACAGACAATAATCACTAAGCGCTCACTAATCATTTTGTTCTACTGAACGCAGCCACTGAGACCGGTAGATGCCAACACGCTCGCTCGCTCGCTTTCGCACCCAGCTCAGATACTCGTCACTGTTCCAGGTATAGATACCCCGTAGCCTCGGATGGCGAGTCTCAGAAAAATAACGCGGAAGTGCGCAGCGTAGGGCAACGTTCGACCATCGTCAGGGACCAGCTGTATGCGCTCACCACCATCACGAACAGGCTCAAGTCGGCGTTCAACGGCCAAGATGTTGATTGGATCGACACGGGTGAGCACTCATTGATTGACCGACCATGTTAACACGTTGCGGACCGGTGATGTTGCTACACCTCTTTATGATGTTTGTGGCGCACGCGGAAACTCAGAGACCTACTTATATTCCATCAGTTTTTTTATATTTTATGAGCAGTTTTAATGATCAATTTCTTAGCAATTATATTTTCTAGCTTCTTAAGACCCTGACTAGGGTAAAATAATTGTGATTATTTATAAATTCTTTAAATTGATTATTGCTAATAGTAAATAAGTAAACACAATAAAATGCTTTTGAGAATAAATATATGGCAAGGCGAAGAATTAACTATTTTTATCTGGGAACTGATATGCAAAGATTTTTTTGAGGCGCTGATTACGAATCCGTTGTCAGATTTTAGAAATTCAAAATGGCGGATCCAATATGGCGGACATAAAATTAAATTTCCGTGAAACTAGATATCTAGGATTTTCTTAGGTAGCTGATTACGAATCCATCATCAGATTTTCAAAATTCAAGATGACCAATCCTATATATCGGACGGAAAACTTAAAAATAAACTTCAATTTCTAGAAAAAATGGTATTGACAGGTTTTTGAGTCGCTAATTATGAATCCATCATCAGATTTTCAAAATTCACGATGGCTGATTGAATACAGCGGAGTGAGAATTTAAAAAACCCAAATTTCTATATCATTTTGAATTTCGAAAACCTGACGACGGATTCGTAATCGGCGACCCAGAAGACCCCTGGATACAAAGTTTTATAGAAATCGGTTAAAAGGAAAAAATTCGTGGCTCAAAAAGTTAAAACGCAGTACCTTGCCAGATTTTGTTTGGTATTCTTTCATAAGGGGGACAATGTTCCAATTGATATCATTAGGCAAAAATATTAATAGTGCATACGACTGTGATCAAAAAATAAGGTGAATTTGTTTATAAAATGAGAAATCTTTATTTATTCTTCAAAATCAATTTCATCGCCTTCAAAGTACTCCCGGTCCGAACGTCTATTAAGCTGGCACAGCCCTTTCAGCACGATCGCATGGGACTAGCACAGAAATTTAGTGCTCTTTTGTTGCTAATTTGTTGCTCTATTCCCGATTTTGTTGCTCCAGCCATTTCCAAGAAAACAGGGGACGTGCTGCTAGCTTAACATTAAAGTTAGCACAGCCCCTCGAAAAAAAAAATAAAAAATGAAAAACGAACACATATTTTTAAACTACGATTTTGTTGCTAATTTGTTGCACTATTCCCGATTTTGTTGCTCCAGCCATTTCGAAAAAAAACAGTGCCGGGGACTCAGAGACGTGTGCCGGCTACAAGAGTAAACTACTAAAAAAAAATTTGTTGCTCGCCCAATTTCGGTCTCAGTATGTTGCCTGACTTTGTTGCTCTTAAGATATCCCAATTTCAAATTTGTTGCTCGCGGTATATGTTTAAACAACAGCCAAGGACTTATAGGGCTGTGCTGGCTACAAAAGTAAACTACTCGAAAAAAATTTGTTGCTCACCCAATTCCGGTCTCAGTATGTTGCCTGGTTTTGTTGTTCATAAGATATCCCAGTTTCAAATTTGTTGCTTGCGGTATATATTTAAACAATAGCCGAGAACCTATAGGTGCATGCTGGCTACAAGAGCAAATTACTCGAAAAAAATTTGTTGCTCGCCTAATTTCGGTCTCAGTATGTTTCCTCACTTTGCTGCTCTTAAGATATCCCAGTTTCAAATTTGTTGCTCGCGGTATATGTTTAAACAACAGCCGAGGACTTATAGGGCTGTGCTGGTTACAAGAGTAAACTACTCGAAAAAAATTTGTTGCTCGTTTAATTCTGGTCTTAGTATGTTGCCTGATTTTGTTGCTCTTAAGATATCCCATTTAAAAATTTGTTGCTCGCGGTATATGTTTAAACAACAGCCGAGAACTTATAGGGCTGTGCTGGCTACAAGAGTAAACTACTCGAAAAAAATTTGTTGCTCGCCTAATTTCGGTCTCAGTATCTTGCCTGACTTTGTTGCTCATAAGATATCTCAGTTTCAAATTTGTTGCTCGCGGTATATGTTTAAACAACAGGCGAGGACTTATAGGGCTGTGCTGGCTACAAGAGTAAACTACTTGAAAAAAATTTGTTGCTCGCCCAATTCTGGTCTCAGTATGTTGCCTGAATTTGTTGCTCTTAAGATATCCCAGTTAAAAATTTGTTGCTCGCGGTATATGTTTAAACAACAGCCGAGGACTTATAGGGCTGTGCAGGCTACAAGAGTAAACTACTCGAAAAAAATTTGTTGCTCGCCCAATTTCGGTCTTAATATGTTGTCCGACTTTGTTGCTCTTAAGATGTCCCGTATTCCAATTTGTTGCTCGCGGCATATGTTTAAACAACAGCTGAGGACTTATAGGGCTGTGCCGGCGACAAGAGTAAACTACTTGAAAAAAATTTGTTGCTCGCCCAATTCCGGTCTTAATATGTTGTCTGACTTTGTGGCTCTTAAGATATCCCATTTAAAAATTTGTTGCTCGCGGTATATGTTTAAACAATAGCCGAGAACCTATAGGTGCATGCTGGCTACAAGAATAAACTACTCGAAAAAAATTTGTTGCTCGCCCAATTCCGGTCTTAATATGTTGTCCGACTTTGTTGCTCTTAAGATATCCCAGATTCAAATTTGTTGCTCGCGGTATATGTTTAAACAATAGCCGAGGACTTACAGGGCTGTGCTGGCTGCAAGAGTAAATTACTTGAAAAAAATTTATTGCTCGCCCAATTCCGCTCTTAATATGTTGTCCGATTTTGTTGCTCTTAAGATATCCCAGTTCCAAATTTGTTGCTCACGGTATATGTTTAAACAATAGCCGAGAACCTATAGATGTGTGCTGGCTACAAGAGTAAACTACTCGAAAAAAATTTGTTACTTGCCCAATTCCCAATTCCCAGCACACACCTATAGGTTCTCGGCTATTGTTTAAACATATACCGAGAATAACAAATTTGAATATAGAATATCTTAAGAGCAACAAAATCGGACAACATATTAAGGCCTGAATTGGGTGAGCAACAAATTTTTCGAGTAGTTTACTCCTGTAGCCGGCACAGCCCTATAAGTCCTCGGCTGTTGTTTAAACATATACCGCGAGCAACAAATTTTAAAGTGGGATATCTTAAGAGCAACAAAATCAGGCAATATACTGAAACCCAAATTGGGCGAGCAACAAATTTTTTTCGAGTAGTTTACTCTTGTAGCCAGCACAGCCCTATAAGTCCTCAGCTGTTGTATAAACATATACCGCGAGCAACAAATTTGAAACTGGGATATCTTAAGAGCAACAAAGTGAGGCAACATACTGAGACCGAAATTGGGCGAGCAACAAATTTTTTTCGAGTAGTTTGCTCTTGTAGCCTGCATGCACCTATAGGTTCTCGGCTATTGTTTAAACATATACCGCGAGCAACAAATTTGAAACTGGGATATCTTAAGAGCAACAAAATCAGGCAACATACTGAGACCGGAATTGGGTGAGCAACAAATTTTTTTCGAGTAGTTTATTCTTGTAGCCAGCACAGCCCTATAAGTCCTCGGCTGTTGTTTAAACATATACCGCGAGCAACAAATTTGAAACTGGGATATCTTAAGAGCAACAAAATCAGGCAACATACTAAGACCGGAATTGGGCGAGCAACAAATTTTTTTCAAGTAGTTTACTCTAGTAACCGGCACAGCCCTATAAGTCCTCATCTGTTGTTTAAACATATGCCGCGAGCAACAAATTGGAATGCGGGACATCTTAAGAGCAACAAATTCGGACAATATATTAAGACCGAAATTGAGCAAGCAACAAATTTTTTTCGAGTAGTTCACTCTTGTAATCAGCACACACCTATATAGGTTCTCGGCTATTGTTTAAACATATACCGCGAGCAACAAATTTGAAACTGAGATATCTTATGAGCAATAAAGTCAGGCAAGATACTGAGACCGAAATTAGGCGAGCAACAAATTTTTTTCGAGTAGTTTACTCTTGTAGCCAGCACAGCCCTATAAGTCCTCGACTGTTGTTTAAACATATACCGCGAGCAACAAATTTGAAACTGGGATATCTTAAGAGCAACAAAGTAAGACAACATACTGAGACCGAAATTAGGCGAGCAACAAATTTTTTTCGAGTAGTTTACTCTTGTAGCCAGCATGCACCTATAGGTTCTCGGCTATTGTTTAAACATATACCGCGGGCAACAAATTTGAAACTGGGATATCTTATGAACAACAATACCAGGCAACATACTGAGATCGGAATTGGGTGAGCAACAAATTTTTTTCGAGTAGTTTACTCTTGTAGCCAGCACAGCCCTATAAGTCCTTGGCTGTTGTTTAAACATATACCGCGAGCAACAAATTTGAAATTGGGATATCTTAAGAGCCACAAAGTCAGGCAACATACTGAGACCGAAATTGGGCGAGCAACAAATTTTTTTTTAGTAGTTTACTCTTGTAGCCGGCACACGTCTCTGAGTCCCCGGCACTGTTTTTTTTCGAAATGGCTGGAGCAACAAAATCGGGAATAGTGCAACAAATTAGCAACAATATCGTAGTTTAAAAATATGTGTTCGTTTTTCATTTTTTATTTTTGTTCGAGGGGCTGTGCTAACTTTAATGTTAAGTTAGCAGCACAGCTCCTGTTTTCTTGGAAATGGCTGGAGCAACAAAATCGGGAATAGAGCAACAAATTAGCAACAAAAGAGCACTAAATTTCTGTGCTAGTCCCATACGATTGTGCTGAAAGGGCTGTGCCAGCTTAATAGACGTCCCGTCCGACACAATGCACTTATGCTAAGGTTTTTCCAATCCTCGAAACAGTCAGAGAAGTCTTTTTCCGGGATGGCCTTCAATACTTTCTTCGATTCGGCTTTTATCTCCTCAATCGAGTCGAAACGGTGTCCCCGGAGCGGTCTTTTGAGTTTGTTGAACAGCCAGAAGTCGCACGGTGCTAAATCAGGCGAATACGGTGGTTGTGGAACGATATGGGTCGAATTTTTGGCGAAATGTCCTCGAAGAACCAATGCAGTGTAGGACGGTGCATTATCGTGGTGCAAAAACCAAGAATTGTCTGCCTATAATTCTGGCCTCTTGAGGCGAATAGCTTCACGCAAACGATGCATAACACTCAAATAATATTCCTTGTTAATAGTTTGATTTCCTTGACGTGGCTTTCATCGGTAGATGTTGATGGTCGTCCGGGGCGCTGTTCGTCTTGAACTCATTCTCGGCCTTCTTTGAAGTCTTTGTACCACTTGTAAACATTTTTTTGCGACATAGCCTTATCACCAAAGGTCTTCTGCAACATCCTCAACGTTTCCGCGACAGAATATTCATTCCGCAAACAAAATTTAATGCAAATTCTTTGCTCAACAAAATCCGACATAGTAAGAATCGAAAAACTCACTTTTGTATGTTTACAAAAACACGTATAGCTCTGCAGCAATTGAATATATTGACATGAAACTCTACATAGATGTCAAAGACAGTGCTACCAACCCACAAAAAAATAATTTCATGATTTTATAGTACCCGCGAAGTTTAAATGAAAAATTCACCTTATTTTTTGATCACAGTATGTCTTAAGTTTAAGCGCAATATTGCAGCCATTGACGTATTGCAAACCGTATGCATACATCTGAGTATTTCAACCAGGTGGAAATAAGTATGCTTAAGATGTTTCAACTATCTTGAAACTCCAGAGTAAGTTCTTCCATAAAGAACATCGGTCCGTGGCGTGTTAACAGTAATGAAGTAAGTGTCGTTTTGCATAAAGCATCAGTAACAGTGACTCATAGTTTCTGATATCGCAGAAGAGACATACTACGGATCTGGCAGCGGCTCAGGCGACGGTTCTTTCACCGACGACGAGGACGGCTTTAAGGAGAGCTCCGGCTACGGGCCGCCGGAGCCGGAGTCGCCGAAGCAGCCGCCGCCGCCGGTGATGCACGAGGTAGAGACGCCGCCGCGGATGAACATCGAGCCAAAGACCGTCGGCGCGAGCAACGTCAACAATCAGACGACCGCGGACAACGGCGCCAGCAGGCAGAAGATGTCCCTATCCAGGGCGCTGACGACGTACCTGCTGCCGATAGTGATGATGTGGTTCGGCGGTTGCCTCACCGAGTGGCTGTGATCGGGTGGATCTCGGGACGAGCGTAGCACAGTGTAAATATTGGCCGGTTCGCGAACCGATCGACAGATCATATAGGATGGACTTTTGGTTGGGAGGTTGCGCGTGGATCGCTGCGACACGCTGCGCACCACCGTCGCGAATTTGTTACGGATGCGTGAAGAGGACACGTGTATGGACGGCTTGGCACGGAAAGAAGGAAGGAAGAAGGAAGAAAGGAACATACTTGATGAGGGTCCACGTCCTCTCATCTCACCTACGGACTTACCGAAGCGATTACACACAGGTGTACTCGCGGCCATAGAGTGCGGTGGTCGCTGACGCTGCGAGGCTGAAGGCGAGGCGAATCGCGCGCGATTAACGGATTATTGTTGGGGACAAGAGAGACGACGCTTCCTCTCATGTGCGAAGAAAATTATACGAGCGCGAGTGACTCGGCGGGAGGCGCTTTCGTCTCGGCAGATAGAAGAGAGTCTCGACGGAAACCTTTGATGGGGTGTTCCGAGTATTGTCCACCATACGGTTTTATTATCGCTGCTGAGCTGGCGCGGGGTTAACAGCATCTCTGAACGATGATTCTCTGCCTCCTCGGTGCTAGCTTGACGGGTACGCCTCCGCTGCGGACTCGGTCATTCGCGTTCTCTTTCTTGTTCTCTTTCGCATGATGATGCGAAAATGCCTTTCGAAGTGTAGACGTGTACTTTTTCGAACTTGCGGAACGATCGTATCGAATAGGAAACGGGTCTCTGAGAGCCCGCAAACGGTCGTCCTGTTTACCCGATAGGAGAAACAGTCTCTGGGTGAAATTGTTGCGCCATTTAACGACATTTCCGAATTTTACAGCGGTACACCGTTGAAGTTATCAGGCTCTGACTGCCAACAGAAGAGTAGGAAGGAACGGAGTGGAAGAGATTTTAGAAATTATATCACGGCGGTGGGATAACCACATTCCAGCTGGACCGAGTCTTTCCTCCTAATCCTAGATTTACTTTTTATGGTCTTTTTGTCAGAAATTAGGTATTCCCTGTTTGGAAATTCAGATTTTTACATAAGCGAGTTGCTTCGCGAAGAGAAGACAACTACACATTCCGTGATCGGAACAAGTTGTTTTTCCGCGCTTTCGATGTGCGCCATATCGACCTTATCGGAACTCTCTACTGCCATTAAATTCGAATGCTGGGAAATTCGAGCTTCCTCTTTATCCGGATATTTCGCCGTGTTGTTCTCCTCGTCCATCTCTCTTTGGGTCACGAGAGACGGACGATAAGGGGCCGTGCCGTGCGGCCGCGAAGAAAACGATCGTCGATCGGACGACGCGACTGCATATCTCGAGTCCGTGTCGATAGTTGCCGCTTGAAACTTGTCTCACGAGCACTCAGACTTGAAGAATTTGGAGTCGCATCTGAGCGTTTCCAATTGAATCATACCATGCATTCAGTTTCAAAATGGCTTTCCTTTATGGGTGCAGTCGGAAATGCAGCCGATGGTCCAATGAAAAAGAGAGAGAGAGAGAGAGAGAGAGAGAGAGAGAGAGAGAGAGAGAGAGAGAGAGAGAGAGAGAGGGAGGGAGGGAGGGAGGGAGGGAGGGAGGGAGGGAGGGAGGGAGGGAGGGAGAGAGAGAGAGAGAGAGAGAGAGAGAGAGAGAGAGAGAGAGAGAGAGAGAGAGAGAGAGAGAGAGAGAGAGAGAGAGAGAGAGAGAGAAAGAGAGAGAGGGAGCGTTTCACTACTGGGAATTCGTGAAAACCAACTTTTCTCATCAGATGAGTTCCAGACTGTATCGAGGGGGAAACCACGTCAAAACCAAGTGTATACGCGTGACGTATTATAATTCAACTTAAGAAACGCACGACCAGGTCGAAATTCAAGCCTGAGCGTCTCACTTGAGGCAAGTTTCCAGCAAGGACTATTGACCTTGCTAGACCTCAATCTCGCGTGCGTCGCGACGTAGAGCGTGCCGTGATCGCTCGGGTGGACGCAATCGCGAGGTGCAACGTAGCAATCCAGCGCCAATGATCGCGACGAGATGTATGTAGAATTTCGACACACCGGATATACGTAAGACGAGTCGGGAACGGAGTATACGACAAGCGGAGAAGCGGGACTGAATATTTATTAAGTGTGCGTCGTGTGATCGATCGGGAGCTCGAATGCGCGAGCTTCGGAAGGCGGCGGGAGGCATGAACAATCAGAATCCTCGTTTCGCGGCTGGATTTTCGAAGAAGTCGCTGCTGCTGGTCGGAATAAATCCTCACCTCTACCAGCGGGAGATCGACATATTCCAATCACGTTTATCATTCGGCATTCCGATTATATTGAATCGGCATTTCTTCATAAGGGCTAGCGCCGTCTCCTCCTGTTTATACTTTTGCGTCATAGCATTGACCGTCTAGACTTTAGACCGACGAAAGCCAGATATTGATCTTCGTCTCTCCCATTCGATGGATGGATTCGCGTCTTATGTGTTGGATCGCGCGATTTAAATTTCAAATCAGTTCAGCCGGCCGGTTATGTTTTTTCGGCGTATTAAGTGCGACCGTATCCGTTTCTTGTTTTACAGTCAGCCTCGCGCACGATCGAGAGCTGCTGCTTATCGAGAACGCGAGTCACGCGGCGACCCCGTGGATCCACGGACGAGGATTCAACTTGGCTCACGTTATATATGCGAGATTATTATTGGGAAAAAAAAGATAAACGAACGTGCGACGCTTGGTTTCACTGGACACGACGAATGCGGTTTCTTTGCTGGAGTGATGCGATCAAACGAAAAAAACAACAGGACTTGGAAGAAGGGGGAGAGAGAGAGAGAGAGAGAGAGAGAGAGAGAGAGAGAGAGAGAGAGAGCTTCTTAAGGAAAGAAACACATCCGAAGTTATCACGAGACTGAGCCGTAACACATACATACACATACATACACACATACATTGTAGTGTTAATTTGCGTTATAATTAGTAAAGACGACTGGAGAAGACGCGCGCGCGGAAAATATTCGTTTACGACTTAAGATGTACATAAGGAGAGTGGCGTGCGGTGAGAGGACATGCGGTGGCGCTTCAGCGTGCGAGATAGATGTACATTGGGGTCCCGAAGGAAGCGTAAAGACGGGCGAGAAAAGTTTTGGTAGCACGAGGTTCCGTAGCAAATATAATACCGGGGAAAGCTCGATGCTTCACATTAGACCGGTAATACCGGTCAAAGGGGCAGAGCTTTCCTTCCTCGACGCCACCTCCTGCCAGACAATCGATTCCGTTCTTGTCGAGCATCGTGTACATGCCGTCGGACGCACATAATTGGTGATGATGAAAGAACGACGAATTGTCGGCTGTAATTACGCTGCGACGTCAAACTGTACGCTCTTTCGGCGAGAGTTGCTCCTCTTAATTGAACGAGAATGACCGCCGAATGATGCTTGAATTCGGCGTTGGAGACGAGCACGTAGGGAGGAATCTTTCAGTTATGTTGAAAATGTGTGGATAGGACACTTTACAACGTGCGTAATAATAACGTCGCTTCCTCCGTGCCGACTATATTCGCCTCTCTGTCTCTCGCGAGAACGCGATTCGCGCACCATTGTGCCGACCGACGGCTCGCGTTATCCGCCACTCTGCCGTATTCGCATAGCATTTATTAACTCGGAGGGAACAGTGTCAAAGTGATGTGAGGGAACGGCGGTCGGTGAGGTGGGCTCCTGTGATAAAATCAAATAAATCGAGCATTATATGACCGCGCTCTCCACGCACCCGCGCTATTCTTCGGCTCGCCGTCGGCTCGACGACGGTGATGGCAGCGCGCGCGGGCGCTGACGGACATTAAAAAAAAATCTAGTGAAATATTAAAATATAATATTATATATATAACTATTATAATATTATATATATATATATATTTAGTGTATACACAATAGCGTATATAATATTATAATATATTATATGTATAACTATTATTATAATATTATATACAGGGTGATCCGAAATTCCCGCATTCGGAGTACAGGACATGATACTTTATGCTAAAATAAACAATATTTTCCTGTAGCAAAATTGCGTCTGACAAGTAATTTTTGCAGAAGGACATGTTAAAGTTAACGAATAAGTGCTCTTGTCTATGTAGTGCTCAGGGCTGGCTCGCGCGCCTCACTCGCGTGTATCTAGTCAGTGAGTATTTTAGTATTCATAAGTAATATCTTTTAAGACGCTCATACGGCTCTGTTGTGATTAGTATACGACATCTTAAAACTGCACTTAAGACAACCTTAAATTTGACCTTCTTTCATATTGTATTGCTTAAGTAATGAAAAGTTAATAAAATAAGTACTGTCTTTATTTTTTATGTAATAAATGAATAAAAAATTGCCTGATTGCACAATATCATCTGAAAATAAAAACAAATGTAAATAGTAATATGCTTTGCGAATTGTGAAATTCCGGTATTGTTTATAATTGATTCTTATTATTTAAGATTGTCTTAAGTATAGTTTTAAGATGTCGTAAACTAATCACAACAGAGCCGTATGAGCGTCTTAAAAGATATTATTTATGAATACTAGAATACTCACTGACTAGATACATGCGAGTGAGGCGCGCGAGCCGGACCTGAGTGCTACATAGGTAAGAACACTTATTCATTAACTTTAACACGTTCTTCTGCAAAAACTACTTGTCGGACGCAATTTTGCTAAAGGAAAAAGTTGTTTATTTTAACATAAAATATCATGTCCTGTACTCCGAATGCGGGAATTTCGGATCATCCTGTATATATAACTAATTATTTGTAATTATATTATTATTTTATTATTATTATTATATATATATATATGAAATGAAATTAATATAAAATTATAATACTGCGGTTGGAGAACGTTTTGAGCGTACGTATTTAGAAAGAGAGAGAGCGACCCGTTGCGAGAGTGCACGCGAGTCTCTCCCCTCTCTTTCTTTCTCTCTTGATGTCGATTGTGAATTTGTTGATCCCCTGACGATACGTATACACATGTAAACACATACATACATACATACCTAATACACACATAATACCAGTCGTATAGTAATCACGATATTTTTACTCCTTGCCAAATCTATCTCGCGAAGAACGTCTTATACATATATATATATATATATGTGTGTGTGTGTGTGTGTGTGTGTGTGTGTGTGTATGTATGTGTATGTGTATGTGTATGTACGTATTGTATATATAACGTATTATTCTTTTTCGCCTTTTCGTCTTCTTTATCCGATCCTTTCCGGGGATGAAGCGTGCGCGAGACACAGGGAACAGGGTGTTTTCGAGAGAGAGAGAGAGAGAAAACTTTATCGACAGTTGCGAACTTTGTAAAAGCGAGACCGCTTAGATGTGGGACGCGAGTCCTTCGTTTTGCGAGGAAGGAGAGTAGATAAATTTAGAGAGAAAATCCCGGAGCACGAAGTGCCAGCGTTCCTCCCTCCCAGTATGATAGAGGAGGAGAGAGAGAACACAGGTAGATTTATCATACGTATACGGGCGAGTTGCGATATTTGCGTGCGCGCGTGAGAAATTGCACGCTGATCTGTCGATTTCTCTCCCTTCCGTTCTATTCCTTTCATCCTTTTCAAGAGGACGCCGGCTTTATTATACCCCGGCTGACTCTACCCGCACACTACCGCGTCCTGATTTGCTCTCGACTTTTGTTCGCGACTTCGACACGTCCCGCCGTATTCATAGAGACGTCTTACGACACAGTCCGCTTTAGTTTCCTCGATTGTCGAGTCGCTCGGCAACCGGTGCACATCTCGAATGCGTTAATTGAGAATAGCAGCGCTCGCTATGAATACGGGCTGTTTGAGACTAATCGTGATATATTATTCCTCCGCATCTGCAAGTCGGTGGTTCCTTTTTATATAAAGGACGCAGAAAACGTTTCTCATGGAATAATAAAAATATATCACCCAAATCACTCGTCGGACTTGATAATTGATCATCAAATTTGTGTCACCTCGCGGAGAGAGACCGGCGAACATGAGGGGAAGATGGAGTATTTTGAAAACTGTGAAGGACTTACAGAAATCATCCGTATATATTTGCTTCTGACTCACATCTCGATAATATTGTACATATTTGATAGCGCGATTACGGTTCGCTAGCACTAAGTAAATAATAACGCGATTACACCTTTCGCTCTCGTCGTCTACTACTCCGAGAGATACTATACATTTGACGCAAATTACAGAAACGCAAGTCAACTTGTCGGGACATATCTAGCCTGCATCCTTCTCCGGTGAGCGGAGGGTCAGAGCCGTTAACATCGCCAAGCGCACACGTGTGAACGGAAATTGCTGGCGAGCGAGCTAAGCCGAGCCGAGCCGTGAAGTTTCGGTTCGACAGTACCGGCCGTCATATTACTGGTGGATAAAAACACACTTTTGGACCAAAAGAAACAAAAAAGTCTCGGAAAGCCTTCATGAGAGAGAGAGAGAGAGAGAGAGAGTGAGAGAGAGTGAGTGAGTGAGTGAGTGAGTGAGTGAGAGAGAGAGAGAGAGAGAGAGAGAGAGAGAGAGAGAGAGAGAGAGAGAGAGAGAGAGAGAGAGAGAGAGAGAGAGAGAGAGAGAGAGAGCTGGAGAGCCCCTATAATACCGATACAAGTGTGTTCTCGCTTAAAGATAGTTACATCACGTACGACGCGAAATATTATAATAAGTGCGGTCCTTCCAATTGTACTCTCGTCTGCTCGGGGGGGTTGAGTGGGAGCGAGGAGTAGCGGCGGCGGCGGAGAGTTCTGAGAAGGAAAAGGTCGCGCAGGAATTGAGGAGAGCGTCTAAAAAGAGCAGACCTAGAATTGTGCCATCTTCCTGGCAGTCTCTTACCGCTAATATATTATTGTGACGACGTTAAAAGCTATGCACGACGGGCGACGCGTCTATACGTGGCGGCCTGGTTACACGCGTACGTAAATTCCAGTGAAGCAGTCTGAATGTCGTAGTTGGAAGTTTGAAAGGACTCCAAGATCGTTCAGTTGCATGGCTTGGGCCGCGATTGAATTCGTTCTTCTTGTGTCATATATTATAGAACTGTATGCGGAAAATGCGTAGCGAGAAGTCGTTCAATCTGGTCCACCGTGCATACTCGATCTTGGAATCTGCGCAGAGCGATCGAGGAAAGAGATCGGAGACAAAAAAAATGTAAGATCATGAATCCAAGATTCACGAGCCCGCTGTAAAATGAAAGTCTCTATTTCGTTTGGATAATCGCCCTAAACTTGTAGACTTGTAAACTTCCAACGTCATGCCGTTGAAAGTTACAGGATAAGCCTGTTGAATCTGAAACGCTGAATAAAGAAGCTTCAACTTTTCTTGATTGTGCTCTTCAAACGCGCTCCTCGATCGTCAGGTTAACTGCACTACGACGATATCACGTCAACTTACGATACGCACCGGTGTGTCTTGACGAGCACGTTGACACACACGAGATCATGTCCGATCGCGTAAAAGTCTTCGAGAATGTACGACGACGATGACATCGTCGAGAGGACATCGAGTCGACGTCGACGAGCGACCTTGACCTCGGCGCGTCGCCCTTGAAGATAAGGTATGTCCCTTTCGTTCTATCTGTACAAAGTGATCTCACGTGGAGACCCGGCAGCATGTCTCGATCCGCTTTCATCATCAGAACGACGCGCTCGGGCTCGTATTCATCCGCACCTCGCTCAGTCCCGCCGTCGCCAGGTGAACTTGGCCCGCTGGCTCGTCACTTCCGTCGCGAGCGGTTGCGACGTGGCTGGGTGGGAGTACGGGCACGCCGGTTTCGTGCAGAACGGGTGGTACTTGCATTGCTGAGCGGGATGGGAGAACACGCAGCCCAGCTTGGTGCACGACAGGCCGAACTTGCACTTGGGATGCCTGTAGGCGCATTTGTCCCCGAATTTGCACGCCGGGAAGGCACTGCATCGAAGGAAAAAAAAAAAAAAAAAAAAAAAGAGAAATTAGTCGTTGAACAAAGAAAGCGAATCAATTCCAAGAGTTCAACTCGATCGACTTAATTGGCTTTAACACGTTGACTGTCATTTTCTGTAAGTCTATGAACTTCTAACTGGAGCATGAACCAGAGAATTCTCTTCACATGCCAGCTACGAGATGACTCCCTTGCCAATCAACGTGTTAACAGCCATCCGCAGATATTCCAAAGGCATAGTCGAAAGCGCACCAACTCGCACGACGCGTGAACATGTTCCAAGTGCGTATATGATAGAGAAAAATACATATGCATTGCGGAGCTAAGGTATACGTTACCTGCACATGACGGGCGGGTGAAGGTACGCGCATTTGTTCCCTAACGTACAATTTGGCCAGTATCTACAGTTCTCCCTAGACTTGTCCAGGACAGTGGGAACACCCGCGCTCTCTGTTAGCGGCCTTTTATCGGTAACTGAAAGTTGCAGCATGGTAAGGTCTGCACTTTGCAGCACCAGCTCGTGGTAACTTCGCTGAACTGTTCGACCTTGATACATACACTTGGCCGATAACGTCGATAACGTGGTGGATTTCAGTCGTGTGGGACTCGGTGAATGGGACCGATTGTATACTATCGGACTGAGTTTTCTCCGCTTTCGCGGCACCTCGTCCGTCTTGTCGACGTTCTCCGTGTTGCAGTTCTCATTGTTTTCCTCGCTCACCTCTTTTGGACTACCGTTGTCCGTTTCATCCTCCGTGCCATCCGTTATCCGGAACGCGCCGCTCTCCAGCTCGCTTTGTGCCGGCGCGTACGTCTCGTTATGCGTCGTCAGAAGCGCGAGCTCGTCGTCTTCGTTCACCTGCGAGTATGTGGCACATCGTGCGTTTAGAATGCGTGGGAGAATTAAGCCTGGAAGACTGCAACGAGGAAATTTCACGCGTGTGAGATAAGATTGGGCGTGGCGGCAGCATCGCATCAAGCAGAGAAAACCATAGACCATATATAGATAGACTGCGCATCCTTATGGGCGCGCTGAAGACTACATTAGAGGACAGAGCTATTGCGTGAGTGAGGCTCTCTCTCTCTCTCTCTCGCTCTGTGTTAGGAGAGGAGAGAAAACGATACAAGGGAAAAGGTAATGTCGAGTGCGGTCCAGCAATCGCTACAAATGCTTCGAAGCGTTTCTCTATCCTATTCTATTTTTCGGATAAGTCGTAACAGCGATTAAAGCAACCAGAGTTTAAATCTAGCAAGGTCAATTAATTTGCGAACCATAACCTTTGTACAGCTCGTACAACTGTCTTATTCTCCTTTTCGGCTTCCCCCACCAAGACGCATGTTAGACAGAGACACACTCACTCAGCTATCGCTTCTCTCACTTTAATGTTGTCTTCAAGTTCTCTCACGGGACGCGCAGTCTATCTATATAAGTCTATGGGAGAAAACGCGCCCCTCCCTTCGTTCTTTATTTATCCTATCCTTCAATTAATTACCTATGTGAAGCTGGCCGCTCATTATCAAAATTTGAACAAAATGATTTGAGTTCTAGTTGCCCCCCGAAGAGTTCTAGAGTTCTCAATCGGCTTTAGAAATAGTTCTGGCGTTTTAAGCAGTCAAAAAGGCAATTGAAAAAAGGGAGGACCAACTTCACAAAACCACTTTAGTGAGCTAGAACTCTTTCATTTCTGCTCGAATCGATTCAAGTCATAAGGAAAATCGATAGAACTCTTCGGGGGGCTACTAGAACTCTAAAAAAACTGACCGATTTTCGAAAAAAAATTTTCTCCTAATTGGATTTAGAAAGATTTTTTCGAAAATCGATCAGTTTTTTCAGAGTTCTGGGGGACCCCCAAAGAGTTCTATCGATTTTCCTTATGACTTGATTCGATTCGAGCGGAAATGAAAGAGTTCTAGCTCATCATAGTATCTTCGATACCGAATTTTCCAAGTCCAATTAGGAGAAAAAAATTTTTTTTTTAAATCGATCAATTTCTTTAGAGTTCTGGTAGCCCCCCGAAAAGTTCTATCGATTTTCTTTATGACTTAAATCGATTCGAGTGGAAATGAAAGAGTTCTACCTCATCAGAGTATCGTCGATGCCGAATTTTCTAAATCCAATTAGGAGAAAATTTTTTTTCGAAAATCGGTCAGTTTCTTTAGAGTTCTGGTGGCCTCCCGAAGAGTTTTACCGATTTTCCTTATGACTTGAATCGATTCGAGCGGAAATCAAAGAGTTTTAGCTCATCAGAGTATCGTCGATGCCGAATTTTCTAAGTCCGATTAGGAGAAAATTTTTTTTCGAAAATCGATCAGTTTGTTTAGAGTTGCCTCCCGAAGAGTTCTAGAATTCTCAATCGGTTTTAGAAATAGTTCTAGCGTTTTAAGCAGTCAAAAAGGCAACTGGAAAAAGGGGGGCCAACTTCACAAAACCGTCCACTTTAGCGAGCTAGAACCATTTCATTTCTGCTCAAATCGATTCAAGTCATAAAGAAAATCGATAGAACTTTTCGGGGAGCTACCAGAACTCTAAAGAAATTGATCGATTTAAAAACAAAAAAATTTTCTCCTAATTGGACTTGGAAAATTCGGCATCGACTCTGATGAGCTAGAACTCTTTCATTTCCGCTCGAATCGATTCAAGTCATAAGGAAAATCGATAGAACTCTTCGGGGGGCCACCAGAACTCTAAAGAAACTGATCGATTTTCGAAAAAATTTTTCTAAGTCCAATTAGGAGAAAATTTTTTGTCGAAAATCGATCAGTTTCTTTAGAGTTCTGGTGGCCCCCCGAATAGTTCTATCGATTTTCCTTATGACTTGAATCGATTCGAGCGGAAATGAAAGAGTTCTAGCTCGCTAAAGTGAACGGTTTTGTGAAGTTGGCCTCCCCTTTTTTCAATTGCCTTTTTGACTGCTTAAAACACCAGAACTATTTCTAAACCCGATTAAGAACTCTAGAACTCTTCAGGGGGCAACTAGAACTCTAATCATTTTTTTCAAATTTTGATAATGAGGGGCCAGCTTCACATAGATCAATTAATCGCCCGCAGGCTTTCTTGACGGATAAAGGAAAGAGGGACAAAAATTGACATTCTGTAACACAAACGGAATATTCCCCGCGACTTTTGTTATCCCCAGTCTCTGAACAATTGATAAGACTATGCCGGTAAGTTTAGAAAGTAAAATCCGAGTCGCTTTACAATCAGCAGAAGTTACCTCCATCTCCAACCGTTCCTCATCGTCTTCCGAACCGAGCTTTTCCTTCATGAGATTGTTGTTGTATCCGTTTAGGGTGACTAAAAATTTCTGGTTGTCGTCGCTCCTTTGGAACAACGACATCACAACTCCCATGTGCTCGTCCATTACCGCCTGAGGCACATCTGCGGATTGTGCGACAGTGAGTGCGCGTTACGAAAACCGACAAGTTACGTAAATTTCATTTCATTTCTCTAGCCTCTCTCTTGCTCTCGACTACACCTCTCGGTGTACTTGCAGAAAATCGTTAGATCTGACAGGATAAGCAGAGCCCTAAAGTTACGAGAACTGGAGAGGCTGAGCAGGTTTCGTGCGAGCCTCTCAACGCGAGCAGAAACCGTTTCCTGCGCAGACAAACGGAACTTACATGGTGCGGGTTCAGCATCCTCTGCGTCGAGATTATCCGACGTGTTCAATTCGATCTGTATCTTCTCCATAACCAGTCTCTTAGTGGAATTCAGGTGCACCGACAAGTTTTGACTCACGTCGCGCGTCGATGTGGGTTTCAGACGCTTCAATACTGGCTTCTTGTCCTTCTTGTCCTACGAAAATCGAGGCTTCAATCAACTCAACGCATTTCCCGAACTTCTGTTTACATGCACACACATGAGGCAAGCCTCTCAACCACGGCGCGTGCTACGTTCACGAAGACGTGAACGGTCTTATACGGTGGTTGCGAGACTTTCCTTGTACCATGTAGAAGCTTAGTCAACTATTTCCGGCATTAAGACAGTCACAACGATCTGCTTGACTCGGCTCGGAGATTTTTTGACTGTCTTTAACGCAAGTCTCATCGACACTTATTTATCGACAATTCCTATTCGTCATTTAGCCACCGGGTAATATGCATTGACGGGACGCACCAATAAAGATGGCTCCGGGTTTTTTTGCGTGACGACTGACTGGTTCGCCTCAGCGACCGCTCTCAGCAGCAGCGACTGCGTGGCGCGCTTCTGAGCTGGCTGCAGCGGCTTCAAGGGTCTGGGAGTGACGATTACTTTGCTGGGTAGCCGCGTGTCGTCCATGTCCTCGTCCACGTCACTGGACCTGCCTCCCCTGTCGATCTTGTCCGCCTGCGACTTTGCGCTGTGGCCCGGATAGCCGTACTGCATCGCGCTGAACGTAGTCTCCTTCGGACGCTTCCTTTCGATCTTAGCCGCCGGGACAATTGGTCTGTTGACAGCGACTATGTGTGATTTCATGGGGCCTATGTTCACTGCAGACTGTTCATCGTTATCCAGCTCTTCCTGCTCTTCTTCGATGCCCAGATTCAGGCAGTCGTCGTCTTCGCTGCTACGTGACTGCCTCCCACCGAGCTTGCGCAACGGCCGGAAATTATTTCTCAGAGGGCCCAACCGGTTCTTGATATTCTTGGTGACATTCGAGCCATTGCGCGACTGCTGCTCGATATTGCTCTTCGGGTTCCTGCTCCAGTCAGCCGTCTCTTGCGACTTTATGGACTTGTTGACGCTTGCGACTCCCAGGCGGTCCTTGATGGTGCACGTGGTCTTCTTCGTGACGTCCGCGCTCTTGGAGTTGGAGTTCACCCTCTCGCGTGAAGACTCCTGCGCGCTCCTGATCAGTTTCTCGTTTTTGCCACTCTCTATCTTGCTTCTCACGTCATTCATTTTGTTAATTTCGTGATGACGCGAGTCACCACCGCCGTTGCCACAGTCACGAATCCGTCTGGAACGCTCGTCGCTCTCAAAGCTTCTGTTTCGTTGGGAGCCGCCAGCGCGGCTGTTATCGCCATAACGGTGCTTATCGAATCGCTTATCTAACTGACGATAACGACCGTTGCCCTCAGCTGTCATCGGTTTGTCGCGGTACACCTCGAACTTCTTCCTCGGCGACATCACACCTAGCCGGTTCTTCACAGACACTACAGATGTGATCCTTGGCTTGTTTACGCAAGACTTGAGCTTTTTCGTAGCGTCCGGCGACGTCGTGGAGTCTTCTTTCTCCTTCTCGGCCGACCGAGGTTGCTTCGCTTCCTGTTCCTTCTTGTCTGCGCCGTCGTGATGATGACCGCTCGACGTTTCCGGTAGCCGTTTCAAGCTCTTAACTGACGTCTCGGCGTTAACTCGTTGGTCGCGTTGTGAATCTACGGTCTTCGCGATAGGATTCTCCGGCGCAATGGCCTCTTTCATCGTGTTCTCGTCGCGCGTGGAACTCTGCAGTCTCTTCGCGGTAGGAGCTGCCTCCTGGTGGCTGATAACGTCTGTCGATGCATCGTCTGTCTTGCCCTTGTTATGTAGAGACTTTGTGGTCTTCTCAACAGTCTTGTAATTCTGTTCCGCGGTTGGATTCGGAACGGAGAGCTTCGCGGCTTGCTGTTGCTTCTGCGCCGGCTTATCGTCTCTCGCAATCTTGCCCAACTTCTCCGAAGACTGATCTGTTGCTTGATCCTCGAGGAACGACGTTGCCGATATCTTCCGTTTCTTTCGCTCCTCCTCCTGTTTCACCACCACCGTGGGAACGAACTCGCGCGATGATTTCTTCTTTGCCACAGTGACCTTCTGCAGTTTCTTTAGTACTTGGTCATGCAACCAGTCCACGAAAACGGTAGTGCAGTCCTCCAGGAAAAGATTCAGGTCGTGGTGCATCTGCTGGCGGGACTTTTTGTTCACCACCATTACCAATATGTAGTCTGGCAGTTCTTCGTCATATCGAACTCCTAGCTCCATCAGCTTGGCACGAATAGCACTCTGAAAGATAACATTATTTTTACTTAGTGGAAATCCAAGTCATGAATCATATATCTCTATCATAGTCTCTTTATATTTGAGACACACAAGTTTCTCGATCACATGAGTATTTGAATCAATTGAGAAATTACTTCGACACATACCTGTATCAGATTCATTTAAAGTATCAAGTACTAAGTAATATTCTCTATCATCTAATCTCTTAACCTTTAGAACACATATTTACATTTTGGCTATTTGCTCTGCATTTGGTTCCATGATGGAACAATTTAACTGAACAATTGATCTAATGTGATTTCCTAAATACTTTCACACATACAACTAAACAATATATGACATCACAGATATTTATACTTCGAAATTGTACAATTGTATATTCTTATAGATACTTCTCTACTGAAAGAATTATATAGGCCTCAGTAGAATATCATAAACAGATCTCCTTTCAGTTGTCTCTTAATTCCCTCAGTAAATAAAAAATTACATGCTTATACAGTATTGAACTCGTTCAATATATGATGACAGAAATATTCCACTTGGTTTTGCATAAACATCCTGTCTTGAAATCGATACACTTGGGAATATTTTGAGAAGCTAAGGTTCTGATCATCTCTGTAGCCTACACTGTCGCATGCAAATGAAGAACAATGCTGAATAAATAAATATATATTCCAGAACCCATGAATGTTGCATGTAGACCCAATGAAGAAGAGAAGTGTTGTACCTTAAATTTTCCAGTAAGTGAAAAACACGAGACTGTGCAACGAGATCGTACAACATAATAAATAAAGGCCTAATGAGTCTATTTACATGCAAACCAGATCGAATATTACTGTCCCTCCGGATTACGAGAATCTCTCGTGCTGTGTGTCGGGACACGCGTTCTTCAAACGACACTCACACGTAGCTGATTTGTGACTTCGATGCCGCGCATATCCATGACTGCTAAATGATCGCCGATCTCGATGTTAAGCAGGAGGATCAGCGTCGTCTAAGTCAGGGGCCGGGCGAGTCGATATACGGATGCGATCGCGCACTATATCATGGAACGAAAACAACATTCTCCGCCATGACGAACCAGAGCACCGTCGGGTGCAACGAAATGATCCGGTTCCGGTTCACACGAGTGCAGAACGGCGCAGCCAACCTCTAGTTTGTTCTTTTTAGTTGTACCAGAGAGAAACCTGAGAGCGGCCATCAGCGAAGGTTCAGAAATTTTATGAATTCGATACGCCCCCTGAGAAAATAGACGTCAACTACATCGATGGCGCTCGGTAACGAGGTGTGTCTGTGATAGTTTGGTTCATATCTGAGCTACTACACAGAATATAGTAAAAATTATACAGGGTCATCGAAAAGTATCGGACCCCCCTAATATCTTCAGTTAGAATGCATTTTGGAGAAAATGTCCAATAACAAAGTTGTATGGTTTCAAGCGGGGAGTAAGATGATGACCTTGACTTTGACTTTGGCCATGTCCTTCAAGGTCATTTCAAGGTCAACCTTATTTTTTTAAATGGAACCCCCAACATTTTATTGCATATCCTTATAGCTTATCTTGAGAGTTTCCCAAAACACTATAATACAACATTTTTTCATTAAGTACTTTTTGAGTTATAAAGGTTTGAAGTTAACAATTTGTTAAGTGGTGTGTGATTTCGGCCAGTTAAGGCAAGAGTGGTGCGTGATTCCAACCAATTAAGGCAAAAGTGGTGTGTGATTCCAACCAGTTAAGGCAAGAGTGGTGTGTGATTCCGGTCAGTTAAGGCAAGAATGGTGTGTGATTCCGACCAGTTAAGGCGAATTTCATTCCAATTGGTCAGCTTGGACAAAATATTCAATTGTACCAAACAATTCATAACAAATGTTCAAATTGTTGTCCTTCAACAGCCTGGCAATGTGCTAATCTGTTATAAACAGCTGAAACCGCATTCCGGAACGTTTCCGGCGGTATTAGTTCTATCTCTCGAGTTATTCTCCCTCTTAAATCATCTAAATCTTGAGGCTTGGTGACATAAACTTTACTTTTCAAGTAACCCCACAAAAAAAAGTCAAGTGGGGTCAAGTCCGGAGACCGAGGTGGCCACTCAATATGACCCCTTTGCCCTATCCACCTGTCCTGAAAGACCTCATTCAAATATTGACGGACAATGACACCATAATAATGAAGTGGAGCTCCATCCTGTTGGAAATAAATTTCATCCATATTTCCACCAGCTATGTCTCGAATAGCTGGAACAATTTGTTCGCGAAGCATGCCTGTGTATACTTGTGCTGTCAAATTGCTTTCAATAAAGAAAGGGCCAACTGGTCTACCATTAAGAATACCAGCCCATACGTTAACTTTTTGTGGATATTGGGTATGATTGTCTCTTTTCCAGTGAGGATTAACGTCACTCCAGTATCTACAATTGTGTCTATTTACATTTCCAGTCAGTTCAAATGTTGCCTCATCAGAGAAAACAATATTATTAAGTAATAGAGGATCGTCGACAATCATCTCCATCATAAGATCATAAAATTCGATGCGTCTATCAAAATCGTCTTCGGACAACTCTGGGACCAAATGGAGTTTGTATGGATGCCATTTATTCAATTTCAGAATTTTACTGACAGATGCATGACCGATTTCGTGTTCTTGTGCAACGCGATTGATGGAAATGTGGGGGACTTTCAACGAAAGACTGTAAAACATCTATTGCCTTATCATTATTTGTTGCTGTTTTACGTCTACCAGATTTTGGGCGGCTTTTAACGCTATCAATGTCCTCGAAACGTTGAATAATACGGATTATAGTACTTTTGGAGATCCTATTATTTTCATTCCGAAAATTTTCATTAAATAATCGCGTTACTGTTTTATACCCTCTTTGTTGATCTCCCCATCCTCGCATCATTAACAGTGTTATTCGATCTCTTTCAGAAAGCTCCGCCATTCTTAATTAGAGCAAAGAAGAATTAATCAGGTAAGTGATAGGAAATTGATCTAAATAATTAAGTAGAGAAAAATATTAATTATTAAGTGTTGGTCCAACTATCGATTTGTTTATTTCAACCAGCACTAGCAAAAAGCTCGTTGAGCAACTGAAAATCTAATAGATCAATTAATAATATTTACGAAAAAATTCTGGGCTATTGGAAACAAAATGAAGATGTTTGGGACAATCAATTGAAGCGCAATGGCTTCTTTTGTTACAGAAACAATTTTTGGGGCTGTTCGTTTTCGTCCACGAGATGACTGCTGCTCGCTAAGAAGAAGACAGCACTACATCAAAGATTCAAATCAGTGATCTGCATTGTTTGCTCAAGAGCTTGTATTACTATTGGTGCCTGCGAGAGTGAGACAATAAAGATCGGCCCCGCCAACGCTTTCGAGCAGATTCCCGCTAACGCCTTCGGACATCACGCATTCGAGCAGCTTCTCGCGATCACCTTCGGGCAGTTTTCCGCCATAGCCTACTAGCATAACCGCTTGAAGCCGTACAACTTTGCTATTGGACATTTTTCCAAAATGCATTCTTACTGAAAATATTAGAGGGGGCCGATACTTTTCGATTAATGTATTTTCTTTAAACCAATTAATTGGTCTCATTATTTCGCGCACAAAAGTATTAAGGTTATGAAGTATTAAGGTATTGAAAACTAAATAATATTTTACAAGATATTCTACATTTTGTGTCAAAAAATTGTTAACTTCAAACCTTTATAACTCAAAAAGTACTTAATGAAAAAATATTTTATTATAGTGTTTTGGAAAGTTCTCGAGATAAGCTATAAGAATATGCAATAAAATGTAGAAGTTCCATTTAAAAAAATAAGGTTGACCTTGAAATGACCTTGAAGGACATGGTCAAGGTCAAAGTCAAGGTCATCATTTTACTCCCCGCTTGAAACCATACAATTTTGCTATAGGACATTTTCTCCAAAATGCATTTCTAACTGAAGATATTAGGGGGGTCCGATACTTTTCGATGACCCTGTATATATATCATCAGGAGGAATCATCCCAGCAAACACAATAGGCCTGTTCGTTTTGTCTGCACTGCTGAACTGGTGCAACAAGTTGAAGTGAGAAAAGCTACGTTTATCTCACTTTAACTTAATGCACCAGTTCAGCAATGCAGACAAAACGAACAGACCTAATATTACATGTAACGTGCATGTTAATTTCCTACTTAACAATATAACTGTTATATAACACATGTGTTATATAATAGTTATGAACTAAGATCTTTATCAGTTTTCTTTCAGTATGTATAACAGTCAAGATATGATGAGCAAGATAATTATTCGATAGAATTGTAAATAAAATTATCGAATTTGAAATACCGGGCGGAGCCCCTCTCCCGCTTATATGTATTGTTTCCTATATTTAAAGTAAATGAAAACTGCTTGTCTATTTCAAATATACTTCAACGTACAATTATAAAACTTTAAAATCAAATACCTCAGAAACTATAAGCGATCCTCATGTGATTTTATTAGGAAAAGTCACTCAGAATTTCGTCTTTTATAACATATTTCAAAATGAAAAAAATCAGTAAAGTGTATCCTTTTCTATATATTTACCTTGCTTTTTTTCCTTTTTCCATTTTTCTCTTTATTCTGTCATTTTTAGTTTCTTATTTGTTACATATTTTTTCTCAAATATCTAAAATTATTTCTTGCACTGCATTGCAAATAAAAATATAAAGACTATATTGACTCCACAAGATAGCTTTTATAACAGGTGCATGTATAAAGATTGTCAGAATGGAAAATCGACTGGAAAACGATTATTCAAATTCCCAATGCAGAAGAATGCAAGATATAATACATGGATACTTAATACAGGTAGGTCTTTCTGCAATAATTATTTTCTATATAGAAGAAATGCGGATAATACTACGCATTTTTTACATTTTAATTAATTGTACACTGTAACGATACGATATACTTCAAACTAACACTGAATATGAAGTGTTATCTGCTGTGTAGTGACACTACTAAAAATTAAAATTGATATAGTTGAATTAATAGTGCTTCAAATAATTAACAATGTGAAATGCTGCAAATGCGTACTCTTGGACAATCTATGTCATGAGATAAGAGTACGCACACGAAGTATAAGAATACGCATTTTTTATTCTATTAATTAAATTAATGAAATTGATTAAATGTCATACTGACTTACTGCGGTTATAAATCCTCACCGTTTTATATTTTTGCGCTTATATTTTGATGTCTAAAACTAAAGGGAGCCGCCGAACTTCTTAGATGTTATGACGATATCGATATCGCACGACACGTAAACGATACGCGAGGATGACCGGCCGGTCAATAACATATACGCTGCGACGGCTATTCAGACAGATCAGAGACGCTCGCGACAACTATTGTCGGGAAATTATTAAAATGTTTTCCTCATTTAATAATTACTTTAAAATATATGTTTATGTGTGTTTAATGATAATATGACACAAAGATGCGCTCTAGCTGATTTCTTATATAGCGACGGACCTCAGCGGCCCGTGATCGTCGCCTCGGCCGCTAAGCACGGAACGACGTACAGACAAAACTCATTTTTTGGACAAAAATCTACGGATAGTGCAATTTTGATTGCTTCTTGTACGTTAGAGAAAGAGGCGACGTGCTAACTTTGAGAACCTAGCACGTTGTACTTTTATTTTTGATTTTTTGGGTGTATTGTTACAGAACCATTTTTTTTTTGTTATAGAAGAACTGTAGAACTATCAAAAGTGCTATTAGAACTTTACTTGTTTTTTTCATATTGATAGTTTGACGTGTTAACTTCACAGACATGCCCGCTCCGCCATGCGCTCCTTGAACGCTTTACTTAAATTGGTTATAAGGCCTTCTGAATATTTTATTTCTTATTTTCTCACGAACAAAATTTTCTTGCTCATTATACTTTTACCTAATACTAATGTGCATGAATACCTACTGCTACGAGATGCAGCTAAAAATTATATTTACACATCAGACCCTTTTCTTGTAAAATGCTACGGTTAAGTTGAATGCAAGTTTTTTCATAACTAGTTCCGCAGCCGTATCATGATATATGCAAGATTTATAGTCCTACAAAAGTTCGGAAGAGCTTTCTTGTATAAAAGCACAAAACTGAATGACACAACAAGA